CTACCTGGGCCTTTCGGTGAGAATTCCCTGCCCATTCCCGAGCCTGAAGTGCCCCSTACGCAGTATCAACCCCACACGGAGCCGCGGGAGGAGAACTGCAGCAGAGCTCTGCTGGTGGGAACAGGCACCACGACCGTTGACTTCGTTACAAGGCGGCTCTCGCCGCGCGCAGGGCAGAGACGTGGSACCTTTCGACAGGCACAGCCGCCAGGCACGACCCCAGCAACGTGGCTGGGCACCAGCAGCACGGGCTCCCTGCGGATCAGCATCCTCGCTAACAGCACTTCCTTCTGCATCAAATCCACAAATAAATGATATCCAACACCATCGGCAAAATGGGGAGCACTCAACTCCCCGGGCGTGAGGTAACACATGAAGACGGGGTTGCACAGGGGCCTGCAGGCACGGCTTTTCCAAGGGACTGCCCTCTTGGTGCAAACCCTCTCACCCGCAGCAGAGGCAGACCCGGCAGAGAAGGGGCGTGCAGCGAGCGCCGGCGCTCAGGATGGGAGGAAAGGCAGGGCCGGCACAGCCCTGCGCGCTGTGGGAGCTGCGGAGCGGCCAACGCCGTGTCCGTGCACGCAGCCGCAGTCCGAGCCCCCTGCCCGCCCGTGCCATGCCAGCAGCTCCCGCACGTCGCTGCCGGCGGGGCGCGAGCTCCCCTTTTGCTGACTGCTTTGTAAGTGCCAGTAATGAAACACATCCTGCGGCCCGCGCTGCTGCGCGCGGCGGGAGCCCAGCAAAGGTCACGGGCCGTGGCCAGCCGGCGCCGCGCGAATAAATAGGGCGGCAGCAGCTGCTCCGCGCGGGCCGGCGCTGCCAGGCCCAGGCGCAGGGCGGCCCGGCCGCGCTGCCGAGCCCCAGGGCGCTGCGGCAGCAGCCGCCCTCGTGCCAAGCGCCTGCCCCGCTTGGGTGAGCGGTGGGTGCCGGGGRCAGAGCGAACAGCACTAACGGAGCAGCAGTGCGGGCGGGCGAGCAGCACCGCCTGCGCGGGGGCTCAGCCACGGCCTGAGCTGTCCCATCCGTGCCCCTGGGCACCRCAGCACCCTGACTGTGAGCGGGGCCAGGGAGAGGCGCCTGCTGGGGCCGGCCCCGCAGCCCCCCTCGCCCCAGAGGCCACAGCCGGCGCCCCTCGCGTCTCCGCAGGACTCCGAGCCCAGACTAGACACACTCGGCCAAGGACCACACGCACAGAAAGTAACCGAAAGGAGAACGGGGCACAGGGCTCTTCCTGCGTGGAGRGGACAGAGCGGTGCAGCACTAATGCACTGTGCTCGAGGCCTGAAATCCAAGTGAGGGAAAGAGACCTTCAAGGTTCCCGCATTCCGGATTTGCCGGCAAAGCTCCCGGCTGGCAGCAAAGGCGCTCCGGCTGGGGTGGGCTGACACGGAGCACGTTCCCTTGGCAGGAYACAGGCTGCGTTTCGCCTCTTTTTACTTTTCACCTCTGAGCGAGAGGGCGTTTTGCAACCCCCYGCACAGGGATCTGCTGGGGGCCGGGGCTCCGAGGCGCTGGAAGCTGCAGTGCGACACACGGCCCTTCGCCCGGCCTTGCACCGGGCAGGCCCCGTGCCCRGGCCCTGCGGCTCGGCCCAGCGGGGACTCTTCCAAAACACCTTGAAAACAAAACACRGCGGCTCTGCCATTACAGGAGTGAGCCCTGGAGGAGGAACTTTGCCATCCTGGTGCAAAATCGGAGCCAAGACAAATGAGCAGAGGGTTTATGTGCCCGTGCCAAGACTCGCGCACACTGCCTGAGCGGGACCTGCGCACTCGGAAAATCTGGAGCACAGCTTTAGTTTACGGAAGGTCCAAAGCAAAAGCAGCGTTTCCCAGTTTTTGTAAGAAATTCCCCCACGTTTGTGGCAGCTCAGACACCAAGCAGGCAGGGCCGGGCGCAGCTAGCCTGGGCTGCGCTGCGCAGGGGTGCCCGGKGGTTGCGCCGTTAGCGGGCACCACGGCGGTGCTTTCACACGGGGAGCGCAGGCTGCCGCAGCAGGGCCGTGTGGAGCTGCAGTGCAGCCGGCCGCGCTCGCCCGCTCTGCTCCGCCGAGCTCTTTCAGGCTGGTGTAACTCCGGGTCAGGCAGCACGCGGGCATGGGAGGCTGTGCCGGGCGCAGGGGCACGGCGAGCGCGGGGGCTGCGGCAGCGCGCTCTGCACCTCGTGTACTCACCGCGGCGGTGCCGGGCGCAGCGGCAGCTGGGGCGCCCCGCGCCTGCTCCTCGGGACCGCGCGTCACCAGGATTCGGAAGTGCTGCTGCCTTGAGTGCTGGTCCGGTCGGATCTTGAACAAGCATCCCTGGCCCTGGGCCAGTCGCTCTGCCGGGCCGCTTCCCGGCGCGTCCGCCGCGGACGCCTGTGGCTCGTCCGCGGGCCGTGGCACAGGGTGGGACGCGCTCCTCTCCAGCCGGATGCGCGGGTACCTCACCAGCCGGTCGCCCTTGGTGCCGGTGGGACYGAAGGCGAGGTCGCCCGTGGCACCCATGCTGGGGCTGCCCGGCGGCTGCTGCAGCTGCAGCACGAGGATGTTCTTGCTGGCGGCGGCTGGCGCGTCGGGCACGTGCTGCAGGGACCAGCGGCGTGGCTCGGGCGCCTCGGGGGGCCGCGGCGGGGGCGCCTCGGTGCTGGAGTTGCGCTGTGGGCCCCTCACGCCGCGGGCGCAGGCACTGCCGTTGAGGCGCGGCGCCGGCCGCGGGGGCGAGCTCGGCGGCGAGCGGCGCTCTGGGGCCGTGTCCACAGGGGTGCCGGCCGCGTCGGCGCGCTGCAGCGAGATGTGCACCGAGGAGCTCCTGGTGGGACGCGCCTCYGGGCCCGCCTGCAGCGGCGGGATGAACATGGACGTGCTGCGCTTGAGGGAGCTCGCCTCCTGCAGGTCCTCGTCGCCGYCGCCGCTGCGCCGCGACAGCGCGTGGGGGCCGCTGCGCCGCGGCAGCGTGTGGAAGGCTGTGAAGAAGTCGTCCTCCCTGTCCCGCTCCAGCACCTCGGACTCGGGCGCCGTGTTGCTGCGGCTGGCGCCGAAGTGCAGGCGCAGCCGGTGGGCCATGGCTGCGGGGAGGCCGCGCGGCAGCGAGGAGCCTGAGGGGGGGAGCGGCCTCCCATCTGCCGAGCCGGCGGCACTGCGGCGCGGGCAGCGACGGATAGCAGAAATAGCCCGAGTGGCGAGCGGCATTCCAGGCATGATTGGGTAGGAGCGAGCAGCTCCGCGCGCCCCGGCAGGGGTAGGACGGCGGGCGTCACGTGGCCGCTTCCCCTCCAGCGCAGGCCGGCGGGGTCTGCGCTGCCGCCGCAGCCTGGAACAGCACCTCCCCAGCTGCTGCTTTTCCATCAGGCGCGAGCGGCCGCGCGCAGGCGGCCCCGCGGCGAGCGCCCCAGCAGCGCGCGGGCAGGCACGGCAGAAAGACCCCGCCAGCCGCTGCAGCTCTTGCACTGTGCRGGGAGACCGGGCCAGCACGCGGGCACACTCCCCTCGCACCGCGGCGGCCGCCTCGTGCCCCTGCAAAGTCTCCCTCGCAGGCGCCCCGTGACCTACCCCACGCTGTCCTCCAAAACGCCACAGGCTCCCGTGGCGCAGCGCAGCCTCCCTGGAATGGGTGCCGGTGAAACACGCAGGGTGCCAGGGCACAAAGTTTCCTTTCTCGTTTGCGCAGGCAGCAAAGCTGAGTGGGAAGCGGGGCCGGGCGCCGCTGGCTCCTGCRCGCTCGTCTGTCCCGGGCGGCGTGCAGAGCGCAGCGCGGAGCTGGCCGCCCGCCAGCGCGAGCCTCGCTCGGCCCCGCGCCCGCCCGCCAGCACCGCGGGCAGAGCGGCAGAGCCCAGCGGGCGCCTGCGCAGCCGCACGCCCGCCCCGCGCACCCAGCACCGTGTGTGCCCGCTCGGCACGGCCACAGCCACGGCCGCTGCAGCGCCCGCAGCCACGCGGGCTCTCGGGGCCACAGGACTGCGCTGCGAACGGCTCGCGGCCCTGAAGGCAGCGCCGGCCCCAGCGGCGCCCGCTGCCCTCCGCTCCGGGAGCTGGTGTGCGCTCTCGCGCAGCGASTACAGTGAGCACAGCGAGCACAGCGAGCTCTGCTGTGGCTGCTCTGCCTTAGAACGCGCTGTGGGGAACCCGCCTCCCTCCGCACCGAGCCTCACGCTTGCAGCCAACAATCTCCATTTTCCCTGCGGGAGAGGGGGGTGAAGGGGGTCACTTTGGTCATTCAAGGTGTAGGGAAGAAACAAAGAGACCTGCTTCAAACCACACGAGTTCTGATGACAATGTGCTGTCCTGTCGAGACAGCCCATTGCGAGCCTCCTCCTCCTCCATGGACACGCGTGCTGACCCTAGCACACACTGTCCCACATCCTCAATTTCACGAGGCCAGCAAGCCCAGCAGAGAAAGCACTGCACTCAAGTAAAAAGTTGCACTTCTTAATCCATAAATAACACAGAGGTACTGACATTTTCAGAAGAGAAAAGTGGCCAAAAGTCATACTCCCAGGACAGCACTGCTGTAATATATGTAACCTCCTCTGTTGACAGCGATGGGGTTGCTTGCTTCACGCACACCCATGTGAAAACCTTTCCTAGGTAACCACACCGAAAGCAAGGAGCAGTAAGGCGGGAAGGGCCGGGCAGGACCCTGGCCCTGGGAGCGCGGCGCGCGTCCCGTCCAGCTCCCCGCGCAGGCCGCATGCGGGGTGCGGCACACAGCTCTGCTCCGCAGCACGGCCGGTGCGGGAGGCAGCGGCTTTGCACCCAGCCCAAAGCCTGACACTGCCTGTGGGCGGTACACGAGGGGCCCGGGGAGGCGGCACCGCCAAGGACACRGGTTTAACAACGGCCGTCCCTGTCGGCACTACCCAGCAGGGCAGTATTTTGGTGCTAGCTCTGTAGCGTTTGGTGCTGTTGTGTGGCATCCCCATTCCCCAGCACGCTGACTTACAGACGGGCACACAAGAAACCTTGAAGAGGCGCCCGTTACCCAGAGCCCCCTGATTTGCAGCACACCGAGGCCAGCACTCACCAGTCTGTTCTCATCAAACACTTCGAAGAGGAGGCGATGATTGGTTGGGTTCACCTGCAAAAAACCCAGGCAAGAAAACGTCACTTTGGGTTCAGCGACTTTGCAATGACCACAACAAGCGCTAGGCAGTGCATGGCTAGAGCACGGCAAGCAYGAGGGCACGCCAGGTCTGTGTCTGTGTGAGCAGGACCAGCCTAACAGCTCCGCTCTGCCCTTCTCTGGAAACACCCGTGGCTCTGGGCCCTGCACACAAGGATGCACCCTGCCCGGGTGGGCACTGCGGTGCCGCAGGGTGGCCCGTGAGGCTGCGGGCACCGCTGCCCACCCCGTGTCCCCGCACCCGCCGCGCGGCCCCTGGGCACTGCTGCCCGCCCCAACTCCCCGCGTCCGCCGCGCAGCCCCCGGGCACCGCTGCCTGCGCCAACTCCCCGCGCCTGCCGCACGGCCCCTGGGCACTGCTGCCCGCCCCAACTCCCCGCGTCCGCCGCACGGCCCCCGGGCACCGCTGCCTGCCCCAACTCCCCGCGTCCGCCGCACGGCCCCCGGGCACCGCTGCCCGCCCCATGTCGCTGCACCCGCCGCGTGGCGCCGTGGGCACCGCTGCCCACCCCATGTCCCCGCACCTGCTGCGCAGCCCCCGGGCACCGCTGCCTGCCCTCTCCTCCAGTGCTGGTCAGAGTGCTCCAGAACACAGCACTCAACTGGGTSAGAAGGATTTCACTGACTCACACTCATATTAACTGCTCACAGGACCTTTAAAAGCTACTCTGTCCACGCTTAAAAACTTGATTTAAAACCCCCAAAGCAGTGTATTAACAAGAATACAGCAATTTCAATAGTTCCCACAAAAATATAATCCGGATAGTCAACTGCTGCCCTCCCTAAACAACCGTCGCAGCTACTGCTCRCAACACACCACAAAGACAAGGCCTGTTCTCGAGCAGCTGTTTAAGATTAAATTTTAAAACTACTGAAATTTTACCTAACCTCCCTTAGTGAAAGCTGCAGCTGGCTGGTTATTAACTCCCTGGAAACTCCCTTGGAAAAACATTTCCACAAACTAMAGAACAATGTTGGTTTTGACCTATTCTCTTCTATGTCCTAAATCTATTCTGCCTCTTCTGATAATTACTATTTCAATCCATCTTTCTCCATTTTCAGATACTTAAATATTCTTTTTTTTTCCTGAGAAAATGTCCATCTACTACTTTAAACTTTGTTATGTTGTTTTAGCTGATCTTTTGTAATTTTTACTTTAAAATATTAAAAGGTAAAAATTAACTACAAGAAAAAGAAATACTTTTATTTCTTTTATTCTATTTGTCAAGCAAGATAAAAGTCATGAGAAATTACTTTTTCCATCTTCTTCCTCTATCTTTATACTTCTTTCTTTTTCCCACAATAGGTTAAATTTCACAGTGTTTGCAAACAAACAKTTATTATTTTTTCACATTACATGAGCAGTTGGGAACCACAGCAAACACGCTCTGCTAAAATCGCATGCTSCAGTGCAAAGACTTGTTAATTGTTCAAATGCACTGATCAAAACTTACACTAAAATCTCACTACGTTGTGTAATAATCCATCTCTCTATTAACCCCCTGACTGTCTCTACTTACTCTTCAGTCGCTACAGACAGAGGCTTGAGGGGCACTGACACTGAGACAGGGGCATATTTTATAAAACTATACTAATGCGGAATAAGAAAATAAACTTCTTCCCAATGATATGAAATATAGTATGATTAATTGTACATTTTACAACAATGATTCATTGCATATAAAGGGAAACTTACTCTAAAGTAAAATTCTTCATTCCATTTTGGATTCAGAGTCTGTAAAAAGAAATGAACATTTTCACACGTTAAAGTCTCCTYGGGCTTGGCAGTCTGCAGGCACCAAAACGGGCATGCACATCGTTAAAAACGTCCTTAGAGGAGAGAGAAGCTTGTCCTAACAAACGCACCAAATAAAACTACTGTCACCGTGATTTAGAACTTCTCTATTGAGCAAACCCAGGGTGGGAGAGTATTTGAGTCAGATGATCCTGGAATAGATGCCAAGTATAAATATGGTTCTATGAGTAAAAGGCAAATCACCAGGAACCTATAGAAATAACAACCCCCAAATTATTTCATTCTCTATGTTCATTTATACCAAGACTATAAAAATATACACTCATGCATATTTTAACCACAAGGTCAATTTTAGGCCTACAAAGATCAAGGCAGATTTATAATGTGAATTGAAAAAGGAAATTTAAAAAAAAAAAAAAAAAGGTTCCTTTGCTTAGGTACTTTATTTTTCCGAACCTCTGAGAAGTCCAAGGAGCACCATAATTTTGCTTTACTAACCAGAATCAAACATGGGCAGAACAAAGCACGCGGTGGTTCAGCACACTCAAGGGACCCAAGCGGGAGCTGCAGCGGGACACGGGCGCTGCTGCGCCAGGAACCTGGGCGCGAGGCTCCCTCGGCGCCGCCGAGCAAGGGTGCCGCGTGCCCGCACTGCCACAACGCGTGCRCCTGGAAGCTGCCTTCCCAAAACTGCTCCTTCCCAGCAGCGCTCGGTCCGCGAGGCAGCCCGGCACAAGCACCCGCAGCCAGGCAGCGGCTCCTCCGTCTCCAGCCACCCAGCGCGGGCAGAGCGGCTCCCAAAGTGCCAGCGAGAAACACCGGCGAAGCAGAAAAGCTTGTGTGAAGAAAGACTCCAGAAATAAATGGATGAATAACTGCTTCATAGCGGATGCTCGCAGAGAAACAACAACGAAAAAGACCCATCAGCAAAAAGAGCTGCAGCCTAAAAAGGGCAAGTAGCGCAGAGATAAAGACCTGCCAAGAGTCAAGCTGAGCTAGATCTTCCACAGGATATCAAAACAAGCACGAAGGAGGTTTTTCGACCATATAAATAAAAAGGGAACGAGGAAAGAAGTGGTGCTACTAAGTAATGAGGCTCAAACGGGAGAAAAAAAAAAACATATTTAGGTATGGAAAATTATGCTTGACATTACAGTAAAGGCCGAATAGCTGACGGGAGTCAGTGTGCAGACAGGAGCTATCACCACCAAAGGAGAAGCGAAGCTTTAAGAGCCCAGAGCAGTCAGTTTGAGGGAATGGGATAACCTTTTAAAGAACTGACAGATGAAATCACAGCCTTAGCACCAGGAATTCAAAAAAAAAAAAAAAAAAAAAAAAAAAAAGGAAAAAAGAAGAACTCCTCTGAAGCGGGTATGGCGAAGAAGGGGAAGAAGTGCGCGTTTCCACGAGGCAGCCCCGAGCCAGGCGCCGCTGCGGCCGTGCAGCCCGCGAGCGTGTGACCCTCCGTGCAGCCCGCGAGCGGCCCCTTCCCGCGGAGTGCGAGCCGCGCGGGGCCGCTCGGCAGCTCCTCGCTGTTCACACTCCYGTCGCAGGGGACGGGCTGCTCGGCCAGCTTGTCTCTCAGCACCCGGAGCGTCCCTGACGGCCCCGGACCTGGCATCGACTTGCACACAAATGACAGCTGGTGCTCCGACTTTCAGAGAGGATCTTTCTATTTTGTGTTCCAAATAAAACAGTACTCCCCGTTCTACTTTGCAAAATTTCTTTTTAAAGGAAGCTTAGCTTTCGAATTACAAGTGAAAGGATTTTCAGTGCATTTTGGGGCTTTTCTTATGGCATTATCTTTCACCATTTGGGTCCCGCTTTTAAATGCCTGCATTGAGGAACAATTTTGAAAACATCAAACTTTGAGCAGGATCGTTTTGAAGACTGACCATTTTTGCTAAAAGTCAAGCAAGCACTAATTAAAATACAGTTTCTTGGCCCTCATTTCAGAAGCGTCTTTCCTCACAACGTAACCCCGAGAAGCGGAGCGGTGAGCGCTGCACGTGACGCACAACATGCCACACGTCACGGTAAGCTGCCCACGCGGGGGTTCTCCCGCCCGCCTCCCCGCCCGCCCCTCGTGCATGCAACGCACGCGCTCCCGCACGTCYGCGCCAGGCACCAGGTGTCCCCTGCTTCCCAGAGGCGCATCCCAGCAGCCCCGGGCCTCCAAAGCTGTGAGACTGAACCGTACACCTACCTTTTTAATGGTTTTTGTCTGCACCAGAGCGAGTTCTCTGTTCTCATCTGCTACATACAAAGAAAGTTTCACATAGGGGTCACTGCAAAAGAAGATGTCACATTTAATGGGAGCATAATTCCACAGCCACATGCAGTCCCAATATAAATTTGTTGTTTAATGTGGATAAAATAGCAACTTCTATTCAAAGTATTTTTCCTGAAACAAAGCGATTATAACAAACTGCTAAGACATCTAATCTATTTGCCCGAATCAGCTCAAATTGATACGCGCTGCAGCAGGGCAGACAGGGACGGTTCGATGCGAACRTCAGCACTGCCGCTTGCTGCCGCCGCCGGGACCCCCTGCACGTGCACGAGGGGCCAGGTGGGTCCCGGGTGGGGGGCGCCCGAGCTCCRGCAGCCCCCAGGAACGGCCTGGGATGGGATGGGATGGGGGCGCACGTCCCGCCAGCCACGCAGGCCTCGCCCGGCGGCAGTGCCTCCAGCCGCCCCTTGCGGCCATCCCAGTGCCGGCCCCTCGGCTCTGTCCCGCCGAGCTCCGAGTGCCACCTCGGCTGCCACCCGGGGCCACCCTGTCAGGCCGCGGGGCACAGCAGGTACCCCAAGTACCACCCAGGCTGCAGGGCACAGCGGGTGCRCCAGGTGCCACCTGGACCCGTTACCTCCTGCCTTGCTTCGCCGGCCCTCAGCTCCCTCTGCCTCTCCGCAGCACAGAGAAGGAGCCGATGCTCCCGAAAGCCGCAGCTCCGCACGCCAGGCCCGGGAGCCCCGAGCTGGGCTGCGCCGGGCACCACCCCGCCCCACGTGCGGCTTCCCCACCCCATTGGACCCACCGGGCGCCCCGGCAGGTGCCGCTGCCCGCGTTGCTGCCGCGGCGAGCGCAGGGCACGAGCAGGGCCGCGTGTGCGGCGGCCGCGCTCCCCGCTCGCCCCGAGGGGCGAAGGGTGCCCACCCAGGCACCRCCCGGCAGAGCCCGCGAGGCCCCGGCGCCGCCTCCCGCGCCCAGGGGAACCGCTCGGCCGGAACAGGTGATCCTCGGAGCACTTGTGCTTGTCCGGCACGCGGGCGAGGCGACAGCCTGCGCGATGGGAATGATGYCTGTGCCCGCAGCGCGCCCGGGTGCCCAGCTCCGAGCACGACAGTGCGCCACGGGAGTGCTCAGCCTCGAGCAGACCAGCGTGTCTTCAAGCAACACACTGAACTGAAACCTGTCTTTTAAGGAATACAGATTAGCAGGTCGAAAGGAYCCAACTACGTGAAAATCCCCCTGCAGAGGCAGGATAACTTCAGCCGAAATGAAAGGAAATGCATGGAAGAGCAGGAGCTGCTCCATGGCTCCCTCCAGCACTACAGGGAGCACTTGGGGCTCCTGCAGGGAAGAATAAATACCAGCAACTCAGATCATCCATCTATTAATTCAGAGAGATTCAGAGATCCTCTCAGCTGTGGTTCTCTGACACTTAAATTTCAGAACCCAGCTATGCAACAGTTATCGACAAACACTAGTCAGTATTTGAGTGTGCATCTTACTAGGTGCTTTATCTATGTGGAAAATAAATATCACRGGGGGGTAGAATGACTGTAAGAACAAACAGAACATCATGCTGAATTCATTATTAGAGGAACATAAATACAGCTATTGCTACTATAACTGAATTAAAGTCAGAGTAAGCGCTGAAGTTTACATGAAGGCACTATACCGATTTTTCAATTTTTTTTTTTCAAAATTCAAAAAAATACTGCTCTGCAAATTGCTCAATGCTCTGTGCTTCCCATTACTTATTAGCACTTATTAGCACGGTACCCTATTAGTGGGAAGCAGCAGCAGAACCCAAATATTCATCAAAACAACTCAGGAGCTTCCCATCTTAGCAGGGAGTTAACACTGTTTCTCCAATAGCCTCCAAACTGTTCCCGCTTGKAAGCCTGCGATGCTGACGGCATTCCCACATTTCCGGCTGGGAGAGGGAGGACAGGGAGGCGGCTGGCAGGGGCAGGGTGCAGGAGACGCAGCATGGGCCTGGGAACAGCAAAAGCTGCCGGCGAGCTCCGTGTGCGACGCGCAGGCGGCGGCGCCCGCACGGGCTGCCCCGCGGCGCTGCAGCTGAGCCAAGGTGCGCACGGTGGGGAGCCAGCACCACGTGGAGCGGCATCCCGCTTCCTAGCCSCACAGCATCCCGCTCCCGGGCCCCGCAGCATCCTGCTACACTGCCCCACAGCATCCCGCTCCCCAGCCCCACAGCACCCCACTACACAGCCCCACACCATCCCGCTCCACGGCCCCACAGCACCCGGTTCCACGGGGTCCCGCTCCACGGCTGCACGGCAAAGTGGGGCTCGCAGGCTGAGCAAAGGCGGCGCCTGCGAGAGCAGACCTGAAGGCCAGGCTTGCTCCCGACACAGCCTCCGAAGTCACAGCACGCCAGTGTTCCTGCTTACCAAGCAACCTGCTTGATGAATATATTTAAAATGTCCACCTGAAACCGTGCTTTAAAGTCACTTCAAATCATCTCCTTTCCTGTGCAATTCAACTTCAAGTCCTGTGCAGCCAGTAATTTTGGAGAAATATTTGTAAACAGGCAGTAATTTGGCAGTAATACCAAATGTTTTCACGCTCTGCTGTGAAGATGTACTTGAAAGCACGGAGCGAAGACATCAGCTAACAGGCAATGTTGGTGTGGGGGCTCCAGGCCCTCAGAGCTTTGCTTTCTGTTCTTGTTCACCGTGCGTCCTGGCCAGCGGCAGGCATCCCCACGTGCCGGGCGCCCCAGGTCCGCGCGTTCCCTGCGAGGGGCCTGGCGAGGCGGCGCCGCCCGGGCGCCCCAGGCTGCAGGGGAAGCAGCTCCAGCCCCGTGCCAGGGACTGTCCCCAACCAGCTCCTCAGAAGCGGTCAGCAGTGCTTATCTCCGAGTGCAAACCGCCCCCGCAGGCAGCTCTGCACTGGGAACAGGCGCTGCCGGGCTCTGGCCGTACAGGTTTCCGCGCTCTCTCATGTGCCTTTCCCAAAGGGCTCCCCACGGGCACGGCAGCCCAGGGCGGCACTGTCACGGAGGTGCTCCCAGCGGCACCAGGCTCATAGAATCATAGAATCCTAGAATGCTTAAGGTTGGAAGGGACCTCAGAGGCCATCTAGTGCAACCCCCTGCTCACGCAGGGTCACCCAGAGCACGTGGCACAGCGCTGTGTCCAAGCGGGTTTTAAACATCTCCACAGAAGCAGACTCCACAACCTCTCTGGGCAGCCTGTTCCAGTGGGCCGGTGGCAGCCGTGCCAGGCCAGGTCGCCCTCGCACTGTGCCASGGAGCGGCGTCTGCAGCGGGACGTCTGCACGGACTCCACCGGATTTTCCTTTGACTATGACGACATTCCATTACAGACACCAGCGCTCGTTGATTCCAGGGTGAATTTTCAATAACTCACAGGAAAACTCTCCAGGCTTTTTCCCTACTATCCTTGTGTTCATTTGAAGATCTCTATACTCAAAGTATTTCAACATAATGGAGAATTAACAGCCCAGTTCTTGCCCCAAATGCACAGTTTCAAATGACACTGCATACGGATGTATATGGTTGATTTAGATTATGCTCTAGCCAGAAGACAGTAAAATATGGAATATTTAAAAGCACAAAGGTGCTCAAATTGCCTGAGTTTTTTCACGAGTCAGACAAAGAAACACTGTTGACACCCCGAGGAGCCGCACGACAAGCGCCCCTCGAGGCGTCGCACGCGCCCCCGAGCACGGTTTGGGCGCTGCTCCCGGCCGCGCAGGCCCACGACGGCTCCGCGTTGCGGCGGTGCCCGGCAGCGCCCAGCGCTCGCCAACGGGCTTCCCACGTCACAGGACATGGGCTCCAACACCCGAAACGTAATTAGCCAATTCTGTGCATTGCAGTTACACAAACTTCCCGGTGTTTCGAAGTCTATAAATAACGGCTAAGCTTTTCAGAAAGCTCTTACTTAGAACCAGGCTCGAATTCTAACAGCTAAGTTGGTTGCAAATACGTAAGGCCAAGCAAAATAAGTAGCTCAGTTTTTAAAAGCTTCTGCTTCAGTTTTTAAAAGCTTCTGGTTCAGCAGCTGCAGCTGAAGGCAGCGGCGCGCGCACCCGCAGGACAGGGTGGCCGTCAGAGGGGAGCGCACGGCTCCGGCTCCGCTGGCACAGCCGGCACTAGGGCGCTCACAGCATCCAGCGCCAGCGGCCTGGAAGRGCTGCGGAAAGTCAGAGCAGAGCTGTTGGAAAAACTGCAGTTCTTAACGTTAAAATAAGAGCTATTGGGGATAATTTATACCTTAACCTGTCTCTTTATGCCGAATCACTCATTTCTTTAAAACTAAATTCAGGAGAAGAATGCACAGCACTTTAAGCATTTGGCAGACAATACTTTCCTATTCTTGGGGCCAAGGAAAACACCTATTACTCAACCACATTTCGTGGTAAATTCCTCAACAGATCTGCAGTTGTCGTGTAACAAAACGGTTATTAGCAGGCTCTGGGCGCACGCGGGCTCCCTCCGGAAGCGGGGCAGGCATCGCGGCGCGCAGCCCCCGCGGACCTGCTCCGTGCCGGGTCCGCGCGGCTCGAGCAGCGGGGCAGTGGTGAGCGCAGCGCCGTGCGAGCGGAGCAACTCCCGCCTTCGGGAGCACCAGGGGCCTCCGAGGCCTCTGCTCCCCCGTGCCCGGCTGCCGAGGCACCGCGGCCTCCCGAGCGGCTCCCGTCCCAGCTCTGCAGTGGGGGCAAGGAGCTAACGCAAGGGTGGCTGAAGGCCCTGAGCAGTGGCCCTGCCTCCCTCCACTCCGCTTATTCACTGCACRAGGACTTGCTGCGGCTCGGGGGGCCCGCAGCCCCATGGCCACCCCGGGCTAGGCCTTCTCTCACAAGCAGCTTGCTGGCCTCCCGCTGCATAGCCTGGACCTGTTGGTGCCGCCTGCCGGCAAGGCCAGGCTTCCAACGGCCTCAGCCGAGCCAACCCTACATTAGCAGGCCAGAAAGGATATCAGGTGGTATTTAAACCAGAGACACTCCGCGCAGGAGGAAGTTTCCCATGCAATAAGGGGCTGCTCCCTCTGCAGCACTGCAAGG